ATATCTACAAATAATATTCTCTAAAGCTAATATTCAATAAGATATAAAGAATTATTCATCTAATCATATTGTGATATAAAGTGATCAATAATATAATTAATTAATATTTTACTAAAAGTTCATATCACAACAGGATCCTCTTCATTAGCATTTTGCTCCATAAAATTTAAAGCTAAATGCCAAGTTTCTACTAAGCTTAATAGTTTTTCAAAGTCATCATTTATCATTCTTCCAAGTTTTGTTGATGATAACTTTCTTAAACTTAGAATTGATTATTCTGAAATATATTGAAATAATTTACTAGTTCTACTGGCAATCTTCTAATATCATAATGATATATTTCTGATTATAATATGATTAAGCTTGTAATAAAAAAATAGCTTTTCTCTAATTAAGTCTGTACTTGTTATAGCATTGATTATTTCTTGATCAGTTCAGAATATGTCAAAGTCTATATTTCTATTAAAAGATGTTGCTATTACTATTTTCAATATAATGTTATTCAAGATAACTTTTGTTCTGGATTTGTGAAGTGATGATATTTTAAAAGAGTTTGAATAAATAAATAAAAAAAATAAAGTCTACTAAATAATAAAATGGAGATTATTTATAATAAATAATGTTCTACAGATAAGTATAATACAAGATAGATATGATAAATTAAAGGATAATATAATATATTTAAATTAGATTATAAAAATTCCAGATTAATATATTTTCCAGAGAGATTATATAAAAGAGAATTTTCTAGGCAAATAGAATTATAATACAGGCTAATTTTCATATCCAATTTTCATGCTATAGTGTGTAATTCCACAATTTTGATTATATTACTACAGATCTAGAGGTTGGTATAATCTTGTGCCATATCAGATAATTGTATAGCCATATAATTTCTATTGATACTCTCTAAATTAATTTTATTTTTGTGTCTGTTTACTGTTCTACTATTAATTTCTCTTCTATTTTTATGACAAAACTGTACTTCTTCATCATTCATTTTATTATTATTGATGACATAGTTTTCTTATAAATTTTATCAACTTGATAAAGATAAAGGTGTCATTTCATTATTATCATTGTTTTCTTTTTGTTTTTCTTTTATTTTGTTATTATGCTGAAAAATATTATTTCTTTGAAAAGCTGGTATTTCTTCTTGTTTACCTTGTCTGTTATATCATGATTGTCATCATGTTGATATTTGGCTATTATGATAATAGTGATTTGGATATTGAGGGTGACATTAGACTTCTTTTTGTTTTCAGAATTTGAAATTCTAAGAATCTAAGAGAGTGAGAGATAATTATGATATTATATCATTATTTTCTTTGTTTTCTCCATTCCTTTCAGTTGTCATGATTCATAAGATGCTTGCTGTATCCTAATCTTAACTATTTATTTCTTTGTTAATATTTATATTATCTTTTCTGCTTATTTCTTGAATAAAAGATAAGTTATTTTTATCTTTATTATATTTTTGATTACCTGATCAGTAATTGACAGGTTGGATAACTTCATATTCTAAATGCCAATTAGTTCCAATATTTTTTAGAGTCAAATTATGACTACTAGAGTCAGAGCTACATATTTCATAAAATGATGCTGGACTTTTTGAATATTATAGGGAATGAGAAAGAAACTTCTCTTCTTTTAGTTTAATATATTCTCAAGAGGATATAGGTAGGTACAGTTCTTCATTTACATTTTAGTAGATTATAGTTTTAAGAGAATTCTAATAAATCTTTCTTGTAGAATAGATCTTGATTAAGATCTATTAATTTATTTTGTTAATAAACTGAACATTATATCTGTCTTGAAATTACATATTGGAATTAGATTACATTCTAGCTAGTCACAATAAGAACACTATCATTATCTATCTTTAGATTAACTTTAAAATAATAGTAGATATATTCTTGTTAATAAATCTTTTTAAAGACTCTTCCAAATATTACTTTAAGCATATGGTTGCTTTTATCACGTACTTTTATAATATTAGGTTTAATACTCACTTTTACCTTAGAACTCATATCAAAAAGATAATAATATGTTTAAGAGAAATTATCAGAGATATGATAGATACAAATAATCTAATTGAGATATTTTATCATAAATTAAAATATGTATATATGAGAGAGTGACCAGGATGATAGTTGAATAGCAAAGTATATTTACTTACAGAAATTGTACTCTGAGACTTAAATTTCTTAGTTTTTTTGGATAACTTAAAAATTGAAAGAATGAATTCATGGTAATGACAATAGCAGATTTAAGAGATTATAAGAACCATATATATTAATGAAAATAATATTTATAATCTTAACTCAAATACTTGAATAATATATTTAATAATGAATAATGATATAGAGTATTCTATTTGAAAAAGAGATCTTATAAATAATTTGGATGTTACTTCATATATCTGCTTTTGTTATGATTTTTAAGTACAATAATTATCATATAAATACATCTTTACTATTCTGAGTCAATTCTAAGTTTATGATGATAGTATAGAAAATGATTAGCATACTCAATATCAAATTATTGAGATAAATAATATGACTATTGAGACTAGAAAGATAATTAATGAAACTATCAAGATTATTGAGACAAATGATGAGATTACTAAGATCAATGACAAGATCACTAAGATTAATAATGAAATCATCAAGATAAATAATAAGAATATTGAGACAAATGATAAGAATATGAAGTTTAAGAAGTTACAAGAAGAATTTGAAGTAATTACTGCAGAATGAAAGAATAAGAAGAAACAAGATATTCATAATTTACAGTCAACTATTCAATAAGCTATCCAAATAGAAAGAATTAAAATTGTAAAGATTAAAACTATACTAAAAGTTACTAGTGATAATAAGTTAAAAAGCTCTAATATAGCATCAAGAATGGAATTTAAAAGACAAAATAGATTTTGAAATCTTTATTTTGCTTTACATACTTTAATAAATTTACACTTTACACTGCATAACTCATTTTACTAGCCACTCTGATTCACATGATAAGTGGCGCCACCAATTTCATCCAATCGGAGATTGGGATCTACTCTAACCAATAGAAACTTCGGGTGAAAATTAGTAAATGCTGACAAATCGTGTGACTGATAGATGTTCTCCACTATTGATCGGATGATTAATCAACATATTACCATATTTGGGGGATGGCTAAAGCGGGGGTAACGCATAAAATCATCAAATTAATAACAATTTTTTTAGTTAAGTTATTGATATTTAATATACACATACAAGTAAAATTTCATGCTGAACATTTTTTACTTAGAAGTTAAAGGCTAGTTATCATAGTAAAATTTTGAGATATTTACGAATTTTCATTTTTTTTGCTTGTTTTTGAACTTATATGTTACACATGATCTTGTAATTAGATTGGTTAACTTCGCCAATATTGAAATTTAATTGGACTGATTTCATGTGTTACCCCCGCTTTAGACGACCCCCATATTTGGTGTGGCAAAATTTAGAGGATTATTCACATGATAGATTATGCTTTCCATAATTAATATCAACTATAAGTAACCCTTGTGTTATTTTTTTATTAAATTAAATTTCTAGTTTTTCTTAAACGATCAAAAAAAGTTTTTACATAAATTCCTCGCGACCTTCTCTACATCTATGTTTAAACTCCCTTCCTCGTCTCTAACCTTAAGATGTCTTTTGCCTTTCAAACCACCCTTTGTTCGAAATACGCTAGCTCGGCGTTACATGGCTTCAAGTACCTCTGGTACTGCTTTTATGAGTAATACGCGTCTTTATATAATTCAAATTTACTTCTAACATTTTTATAATGCAGTTCTATATAACTGGGAAGACCCTTTATCTTTGGAAACACAACTCACTGAAGAGGAGAAAGCCATTAGGTTAGTCTTCTCGCTTTTCCTTTAGCTCTACGAAGGATTTGGCTTGATTGAATGTGCATCAATTTCCACTAGCTTGTTTTTTTGATGTTAATTCAGAGATACAGCACGAGAGTATTGTCAGAAGAAGCTTTTCCCTCGTGTGTTAGAAGCATATCGTAATGAAGGTGAAAAAAACTCACTTCAGATAATTTATATAGATATGCATATTCGTAATTCTTATATGAATGTATAGAATTTGATCGAAAGATACTTTATGAAATGGGGGAGATCGGTTTATTGGGTGCTACAATAAAAGGGTATGGCTGTGCTGGTACGTCTTCAGCTGGGTATGGTCTTATTGCACGTGAAGTTGAGAGGTAATAAAGCAATTATTTGATTTATTTTTCTTTATCTAATTCTTTTAATTCGTTTTTTAGAGTTGATAGTGGTTATCGCTCCGCTATGAGTGTTCAATCTTCTTTAGTGATGCATCCTATTGATGCATTTGGCACAGAAGCTCAAAAAGAAAAATATTTACCTAAACTTGGTACGGATTTTTTAATATAAGGGAGAGTGGGGGTATTTCGGCGAAGGATGGGTATTGTGACGAAGTTACATTATCTCGAAAGATATCATGCATATAAAAAATGTCATTAACAAAATGTGTAGTGGTAGGCATAAATATTGATATGCATGATATCTTTTGATATTATATGACATTTGACTTCTTCATAATACCCATCATCGCCATAATACCCCGATTTCCCTTATCCTCCTTATTAATTATTAGATTTTTATTGATATAAGTAATTGTAATAGCAAAAGGAGAACTAGTTGGTTGTTTTGGTTTGAGTGAACCTGATCATGGATCAGATCCGTCTGGAATGACGACTACTGCACGAAAAGAAAATGGCGTCTATATTCTACATGGAACAAAAACATGGATCACAAATTCGCCAATTGCAGACGTATTTATAGTCTGGGCGAAAACAAAAGAAGATAATAAAATACGTGGTTTCATATTAGAAAAGGTTTCATCTCAATAATGCTATACGATTTAAATATATCACATATATGAACTTTTTTTTGATTGTTATTGTTATCACAGGGAATGAAAGGTTTATGGACTCCCGTGATAAAAGGAAAGTTATCACTTCGTGCCTCTATCACTGGAATGATTATGATGGATAATGTAGAGGTACCAGAAGAGAATTTGCTTCCTAATGTTCATGGGCTTAAGGTAAGAAACAAATAATTGATTATCATAAAATTATATTTATTTAATTAAAAAATTTTTGTTATAGGGACCATTTAGTTGTTTAAATGGTGCTCGATTAGGAATTTCGTGGGGGGTGCTTGGAGCTGCAGAATTTTGTTTAGCACAAGCACGTGATTATGCGCTTAACCGATATCAGTTTGGTGCGCCGATAGCTAAATTTCAATTAATCCAGAAAAAATTTGCTGATGCAAATACGGAGGTATGTTGTTTATTATTGCTTATTTCTCCGTTCCTTTACAAGATTCCTTTATTTAAGCAAATTGTAATATTATTATTTATCAGATAGCTATTGGTATGCAAGCTGTCCTACGAGTTAGTCAATTGAAGGATCAGGGAAAAGCTGCATCGGAAATGATCTCACTTATAAAGCGTAATTCATGCGGAAAAGCTTTAGATATTGCTCGGTCTATGAGGGATATACTGGGTGGAAATGGAATTAGCGATGAATATCACATTATGCGTCATGAGCAAAATTTGTGTACTACGAATACTTATGAAGGTTCGTTGCTTTTTTTGATCTTATTCAATAATTTATCTTTCTTTTAAAAAAATTACCACTTTCATCTTTGGATATTAGGTACCTACGATATACATACCCTTATTTTAGGGCGTGCTATAACTGGACATCAAGCATTTACTGCTGACATGAATTAATATTTGTGCACAATATATAAAAAGCTTTGTTACAATCGAAAAAACAATGATAATTTTAATGTTTCAATCTAAAAATATTATTCGGTTTACTGCATGTACCCTTGAAATTGAATCCAATATGAATAAATAAAGTTAGTCTTTACTATGCATATCGTATCCCATATAGGTTCAA